AAGCGGCGCGGGCGAGCGATGTGCTGGCCGCGGCTTCTCGCCGCCCCCATTGGCCCGGGACGGCGAACCGCGGCCAGTGGGGGCCGCGATCGGCCGAACCTGCCGCGTCAGCAGGTAAATAAAACTGGCCCGGCCCGCCAGGGTGCTTACCCTGGCGAGCCGCGTGCCAAACGTTGCCGACCCCTGATCTAGACAGAAAAATGCGAATGCAAATTGGGTTCTTTAAAAAGCGTTTATAAGGCGGCCAATAAGCAATGATTCCAAAAACTCAAGAAAGAAAACAACTTTGGCTAAAAGCCTATTCTGGTTCAGTGGATCGACGGCAGCAATTAGAAAAATAACATGTAACAACCAGAAAAGGGGGGAAATAGATATAACTCATAAATTATAAGTTATGAAGTACAGAAAATTGATGTGGGAAACTAAGGACATCAGAAAAAAATCCATGACTGGCAGGGCTAAGGACAATAAGGAATTTAAGTATATTATGTACAAAAGAAATCATAGCAAAGATCAATAGGCCTATTGCTAAATACACATGGTAAAACTGTTAATGATGCCAGAGGCGGATTAAGGTTTCCTGGGTCCCTGGCCCAGAGCACTTCCTGTTTCGCCCCTTCTGCTTGTGGCCCCTCCCACAGCTGCACCCCTTTCTGCCCCTTCCCCAGGGTCCTCCCCTGTTCCCCCAGGGTCTTGGCTTGGGGACCACTGCGGGGGCGCTTCCCCCATCCCACAGCTTCTGCCAGGGTCGGGCCGGGGCTGCTGGGGGGAGGGGCTTCTCCTTTCCGCTGCTTCTGCCAGAGACGGGGTCAGGCCGGGGGCAGTGGGAGGTGGCTTCCCCCATCCCGTGGCTTCTTCCAGGAATGGGTTCAGGGGTCACGGGGGGGGGGTCCTCCACCCCACACGCCTGGCACTGATGCCGGGACTCTGGGCTTCCACCCCGGGTGGCAGATTTTTTTCCAGGGGCCCCCCAGTTGGCCAGGGACCCTGGACCTGGGCCCCATGGGCCCAGTGGCTAATCCGCCGCTGATGATGCAGAAAACACATCAATAAATATTTTTGTTCTGAATTTGAAAGGAAGCAGAATGATGTGCTTGTATCACATGAGGATGATCAAACTTTCCTGTCCATTAGTAACTAAGGAGGACATTAGACAACATCTAGTAGGGATAAACGTATTTATATCAGCAGGCTTGGATAACTTGTATCCAAGAGTTCTAAAAGGGTTGGCTGAGCAGACCTCTAGCCCACTGATGTTAATTTTTTAGTAAAGCTTGGAATATCAGGAACACTGCAAAAGCCTGGAAGACTGCTAATGTTGTGCCAATAGTTAAAAAGGGAATGCCCCGGCTAAATATAGGCTGGTGAGGCTGACAACAATCCCAGGCAAAATAGTGGAAAAAGCTGATATGAGATTCAACTGATAAAAGAATTAAAGGATAGGAATATAATTAGGGCCTGTCAACATTGTTCTATGGAAAATAAGTCTTGTCAAACAAATCTGATTTAATTATTTGATCAGATTACAAGTTTGGTTGATACAGGTAACTGTGTGATTATAATATACCTAGACTTTTGTAAAGCATTTGGCTTAGTACTGTGTGACATCCTGATTAGAAATTCCTTAGAAATTTACTTTTTCAATTAAACAAGTTCCAGCAAATATTTTTTATTTTTAATTGAAAATCAGCATTTTTGTCTTTTGTCCCTCCCCAACCCTTTCTCCTTTTTTCCCCAAAGGAAAAAAGGGAGATAAAAAGGGGAAGAAAAAAAATCTCTGGACAATGGTGAAAGAAGAAAGAACAATCTGCAAAGAAAGGGGTATGGAAGGAAACTTTAGAAAGTTTTAAAAATAGCCATCATCACAATGTTCCCCAGAAGCTAGAGATGATGAGGCAATAACACCATTGTTGAAAAGGAGCCAGCTGGCCCCTAATATGGAGTTGCCAGAGAGCTAGGCAGAATTCTCTGAATATATGAATTGCTACACCTATGTATGATAGCCAATCCTTCGTTTCTGTAACAATGGTGGGCCAACATATTTGGGATGAGGATTAGGTCTGTATGTAAAGGTCTTGATCTTCCCCTGTACTGAAGTTACGATCTTTTTCCCAAACATATCTTTAAGGCCTTAATCTACATGTTCCCTCCATAGGAGTCCACCAATATAGAGAAGGAATCAAAATTTAACCAAGAATTCTGCACCAGATCATTGACAAAGTGCCCTGCAGGCTCTCGTTGGCACAACCCCCAACCCTGCAGACAGATGTATGACATCTTGGAAAGTATTGTGCAAACATTTTGATACCATACCCAGCAAAATGGAAATTCTCCAGGACCCATTAAGACCGACCTCATGAAGAGAGAAAAATAATTTTGCAAATAATTTTGTAAGGACTCTAGCCTAATGTAAATGGACAGACAGTTCTAAATAAATGTAAGAAAATTAATACACTCTCTTTAACAGACGATGTCTGAGAGTAGATTCCTTCTATTGTAAAGAATTTTCTGGAGCAGCTAGCTAAAACAGAATCCACTTTATCAGTGATAGCTTGCTTCCTTGCTCTTTTTCCTGGCATTTTTTATAATTTGGTGAAGTTTATAAAAAGGAATTTCAGAAAAATGACTCATAATATTTATGGACTTTTTATCAAATGAGACTGAGGGAGTTGGGACCATCTTAGCCTTGAATTACAGTGCAAGTGGAGACTTAACAACAGAACTCTTTCTACAAAATGCAGGTGTTATCTTGCTGTGCTCCAGCTGTGACCAGGACTTAGGCCAGCAGAGAACAACCTGAAAGTGGGGAGAATGGGCGAATAGCATTCTCAAGGTAAGTCCAGGTTTGGAATTACTTTGGTTTACCTGGTCGTGAGACCTTTGAGCTGCTGAATGCTGCTCCTCGCAGGCTGCTGTCGAGAGTCTGGGGGTTTGAGTTACCATTGAGATCACGACATCCGACAGTTGATAAGTCTGGAATGAGAGGCAGAGAGACCCAGTCAGACCGGGTTACATGGCCTCAAAAGAGGAGCACTTGTCAGTTTTTCCTCTTGGCCTTCTCCAGTTTATCAACCATTTTTAATATCCTTTGAGATAGGAGGCTTATCTGAACCATGGGGGAATAAAGCTGTGATAGAAAGAGCTATGGAAGCGAGACTCACAAGGACTCATACTGCTCAATTGGTGCACATGTGGTTGTGAGGCAGGTTGTAGGAACTCAGGAAGCTAACAGGAGCCTCAAGACAACCTGGATCGGTGCACAAAATTCTGCCATTTCAATGGGCACTTGTACATGTTCAAGTCTGACAGAGTTGTAGCTGAATAGAATGCAGACAATTCACTTCGCCCTACTGCAAACAGAGCTTCCCCCTATACCGGGAATTTCCAGATGGTTTAAGTTCACTTTGTGCCAAGTAAGAGGAACAAAATGAGTTTGGTAGACCAAAGCATCCATCCCTTGGTCTTCTGGGAAGGTCCGTGTGGAAATCTTTATGGAATCAAACATGAAAGGTGTGCCAGAATTTTTATATCCACAGGAGCCTTTTTCCTGCACTCTTCAAATAGCAGACATTTCTGTGCCTTCCTTTGTGTCTTTCCAGTGGAGCCTTATTTCATAGCCCCCCTCTGGAACAGCCTCCATGTGCCTAACTTACTTCTTGATTTTACCCCAAGCTACATTTCAAGCTTCATCTCTTCTGCCCAGTTCATGTCTTGTGTTCTTTCTAATAAAACAATAAAATGTATCAGGATGAAATGATTTATTGAATTTCTTAATGAGTTATGTCCTTCTCCAAAGACTTTTGATAGCTCCTAAAAATCACACATTAAATGTGTTTTTAACTAAAACATTTAATTCCTCAATCAATTTATAAAATAAGGTATTTGCAACATCATTAGAGGTTAGCTTTCATGAATCCAGTCCTGATTTTCCATCTGTCTTGCACCACATACGCATTCTCGTAAGTACAAGGTGACTGTAAAACATAACAAATTCCAAATTCTATACTGTGCATACTGTTTTACTGCACCCATTTTGCTCAAGTGTAAATGACTCTACAAGGGACAAGGCCATGGGGAAATCAGGCCTTCCATGTTGTTCCAATTAATTTTGATATGAACAACAGATGAACTATTCTTGAACTGACAAAAGCAGGGGTACGATTGTCACAGAAATTTTGAATACATTTAACGGCAGAGGTGTGGGGAAAAAACAAGTCATGGAAAGGGGGCAATAGGACAGAGTGTTGGAGAGTGAGCCCACACTGCACTCACCCCCTCAGCAGTGTCTCCTGTCCTCTGGGGCTGGAACCAGCTCCCTACTCTGGGTTCTGCAACCTAATGCACAAGATAGCAACACCACTGAGGTTAGGATGGAGGATAGAGGAAGGGACAGATGGGCCAAACCTGCATGCACCAGGTCACAACATCGCTCACTTTGGAAACATTTCACTCAGTTTGCAGTATTTCATGGACTTCCTTCAAATTCACAGTTTCCGTGACCACCATGACAAAACTATAGCACTAACTAAAAGTCAAAGCCATTACTATTGAGTTTGTCTAATGAATGTGTGCTCCCATATATTTATAGAATAATGAGAGATTTATGCTATTTCATGCCATCTAGCCATGCTGACAGCTTGAGGTTAAGTTGTTTTTCTTTCATTTCTTCTCTTGTGAGTGTTATGATCCCCTTCTATAAAACAACTCCAAAAACCATGACTTTGTAAATATGGAATGCAGTACCCTAAATATGTTTGGAAGACTATACTGTTATAATCCCTCTTTCCTGATACTGATAGTATAATCCTGATACTCGTGCATGCAACAAAAGACAAGTTAGAATGGTACTGGTCTAGACAACAATTAACTGATCCATGTTCTAGCCCTCTGCAGGAATCATTGATTTTAACACATCCTGTAAAGCAGATAAAGGCTCCTACTATAGCTCTGATTTATTTAAATATTGTGTCTGCATATTTAATGCTCTCCATTCTTATTATACTCATAAATTTGTCAGACTAAGGTTTCTTACAAATGTTGGTGCACTGTATCATCGCCTGCTTTTATCAATAGCTTTCTCAAAAATACTATTAGCAAAGCAACAGAACCATTTAAAGGCCATTCATCTTTTCACTTCTGCTATATAGAACTAGGTATTAATTATTATTTATATTATTATTGTTGTTGTTTATTAAAGGCAATAGACTTGATACAGGTGGCTCCCCTATCCCATGTAGTGCCTTGCAGACTTCAATGGGGGTCTGTCCACACTGGACTGGTCTAACAGATTAATATTGTTGGCAATATATACTGATAAATGAATAACCAAGCTTTTGCTGGAATAGAGGGGTTATTGCTGGAACACTTCAGCCATATTACTGACTACATTTGGGACCCAAATGTTGCCAGTTCTATAAAAAGTCGGGAGGCTATTTATTTTTTACATTGATGTGAAAACAGGTAGAACAGTCATAATTCAAAGATATTAGCAGAAGGCCAGAGACCTTCATCTCTCTTTAGCTCTATAAATATTTCATGTATCCAAGTTATATTAACCCTTTTCCTGCATCTAATTTATGGATACATGAAAAAAATCAAAGTACTAATCACAAGATAATGTTTTGGGTTTGTAACTGATCATTGCAGTTATCAGAACAGTTTATTGTCAAGTATTAACAGTAAATTGAAATTGGATATTTAGTAATGTATTATAGAACTCTTTTATGGAGAAGACCCAGTGGACTCCTGGAAGCAAGAGACTGATCCCGCAGCATTGCTGTTAGTGGTAACATTTTCATGGATGTCATTACTGCAGGATCAGGCACCATATCAAGGGATCAGAATTCAAGAGGTTAGTAGCACTGGAGGGGCAAAATACACAAGCTGTGCTGTGTTCTTGGTGGTAAGGACTCCAGCAGATTTATTTTAGTTGACAGACTGGAGGAAACGACGTACTGGTAACTACTCGAGCACAGAATGATGATCTCCTCACAGGCAGAGCAAAGGAATAAAAATAGGTGGTGATAGTGAGGGTGGTGGTGTAGGTGTTAGTGGGGAAAAGCAGAATTTTACTATACACAGTTTACTTTCTGAAAAGCAGATTTTCTCTATCCAATTTGCTGTGTGGACTAGAAGCTGGGACAGCTGACTTCCCACAGTGCCAGCGGGAGGTTGTGCAGAGCTACAGCCAGGGAGCACTGTAGAGAATAGGTGTTGCAGGAAGTACACCCAAGGGAGACAGAGAGGCAGTACCCTGTGGCCCTCTATTGGCCAAGCCCCCTATTTAACTCCGGGGGTTGCCCCAGGAAGTTGTCTGGCCAACCATACAGACTTTGGCCTGCTGTGACTCCAGACTTCAGCTTGTCTCCTGATCTCCAGTTTCAAATCCCAAGCCTGACTCTGACTCGTGCCTTCTGACTCCAACCACTAGGCCAGACTGCCTACACCCTGGTCCCTTACATGCTCTGGCAAAAAGAGTTAATGTGATGCTTGGACGTAAAAACAGGGAAGCAACAAACAGGGAGATGATTTTACCTCTGTATACAGAATTCATGAGACTGATACTGGAATATTACAGCCAGTTCTGGTGATTACATTTTAAAAAGGATGTTGAAAAACTGGAGAAGATGCAGAAAACAAAAGTTATTCAAGGTCTGGAGAAAATGCCTTGCAGTGTAAAATGTAAAGAGCTCAATCTCTTTAGTTTATCAAAAAGAAGACTGACAGGTGACATGATTATAGTGTATAAGTACCTTCATGGGGAGATAACACTGGGTATAAAAGGGGGTCTTCAATCTAGTGGAGAAAGGCACAACAAGAACCATTGGGTGGAAGCTGAAGCCAGACATATTCAAATTAGAAATTAGGCACAACTTTGTATCAGCAAGTATGATTAATCACTTGAACAACCTACTAAGGGAAGTGGTAGATTCTTCATCTCTTGATGTCTTCAAATCAAGACAGGATGCCTTTCTGAAAGACATGCTTTAGTCAAACACAAATTATTGGGCTCAATTAGGTGAAATTTAATAGCCTATAATATAGAGGAGGTCAGACTAGATGAGCTAATGATCCCTTCTGGCCTCAAACGCTATCAATCTATGAACTGCCTATGGACAGAGACTATAGTCTAGTCTTGTGGTTAGGACACTGGATTGAGTAACAAGGTATGGGTTCAATTGCTGGCTCTGCCACAGACTTGCTGTGTGACCATGGACAAGTCATTTAATCGCCATTGTATTCTATATAGGTCCTTATACTGCACTCATCACCTTAGTATCTGAGCACCTTCCAGGAGCACATTAAGTAACATGACTAACAATGTGTTTGTTCTCTCATTCTCTCCAGAGGGGAAGTGTGTGCATGCAGTGGAGTGGTTTGTTTTGTAATATTTTTTATAATATATACACACCTGTGGTGCTATATGTTTAGGTTCCAGAGACACTTTCTTTCTCCAACACTCTCTGGGGCTTGGCTGTGAAATGTCAGTTAATACTTCCTCTCTCTCACTCTTTGTCAATCTTCTCTAACTAGATGATAAACTCTCTGAGGCAGGGACCATTTACTAGGTCTTGGTCTGGTGCCTAGCACAATAGGGCCCTAGTCTCAGTTGGCATCCAGCCATCTAGTAATACAGGCCAGTGGTTCAAAAACTTTTTATAAAAGCGACGCACCAACTGCATTTTCTCTTTTTTGGGGGCCCACCATAATCCTTGGTCCCTGCACCCCACCCCCAACCCAGCTCAGCCCTCCAGTCCCCTGCACCCCAATCTCCCTTCCTCTTCTCAGCCCAAGCCCCTGCCCCACTCCTGCAGCCCCAGCCAGCTCCTCTCTCCCTGTGGCTGGGCTACAAGCGCTGCCAGGCTGCTGACTGTCCACTTGCCAGCTTTGGCCACTTCCTTATGCCCAGCAGAAGTGAGAAATTGGGGGGGGAGGCGGGAGAAGAGGAGAGAGGGATGGGGAGTGCCTCCAGG